ACCTGGTAGTCCCAGCTACTTGGGAGGCTGAGGCAGGAGAACCGCTGAACCCGAGATGGTGGTTGCAGTGAGCTGAGATTGCGCCATTGCACTCCAAGCCTGGGCGACAGAGCAAGACCGTCTCAAAAAAAAAAAAAAAAGCAAAAGCAAACAAAAAAGGGCCCTCAGTCCTCAAACCTACCAAGGTTGCCCTCCACCCACATCTATAAGAGTTAGTCTGTTGACTGCTTTAGCAGTTCAGAAAGGAGGAAAAGATCCATTCACGGCACCGCTAGTTTTTTGTATTTTTTAGCAGAGATGGGGTTTCACCGTGTTAGCCAGGATGGTCTCGATCTCCTGACCTCGTGATCTGCCCGTCTCGGCCTCCCAAAGTGCTGGGATTACAGGCTTGAGCCACCGCACCCGGCCAGTGTGAGGGTTTCTAATTGTTCTGTGAGGTATCTCTGCAGCTTCCTGAAGTCTTGGGACCTGTGTAGCCATATAGGGTTCTGAGTGCTGAGATGGAGATGTTAGAGAATGAATGGTTTTATATATATGTATAATATATAATATATATTATAATTTATATATATTTTATATATAGCTGGTTAGATGGGGGGAGGTGCCATGGATATAGGACTTTAAGAGGATGCACACATCAGATTGGCTGTGTTTGAATACCTACTAAGTGCTAAGCGTTGCTCTAGGGAATACTGAGGGTTTGAGTCACCTCATCGCTTCCCAGGTAGCTGCTTTGAATATAATTGAGGAGATATGACATAGATATGTCGGTAGTTCGTAGTAGCCGGGCTTCCAAGGCCACACCAGTTTTCATGTGATAGATTTGCTTTTTTTTTGAAATGGAGTTTCACTCTTGTTGCCTAGGCTAGAGTGCAGTGGGGTGATCTCGGCTCACTGCAACCTCCACCTCCCAGGTTCAAGTGATTCTCCTGCCTCAGCCTTCTGAGTAGCAGGGATCACAGGAGCCTGCTACCATGCCCGGCTAATTTTTTGTATTTTTAGTAGAGATGGGGTTTCACCATATTGGCCAGGCTGGTCTTGAACTCTTGACTTCAGGTGAGCCACCTGCCTCAGTTTCCCAAAGTGCTGGAGTTACAGGCGTGAGCCACCACACCCGGCCTAGATTTGCTTTTAAAGAGGTCTTCTGTATCCCAAGTATAAGGAGGTTCTTGTGAAACTGCAATGCCTCTTTTTCCCTTTCTTTTTTATATTTCAGAATAGCTGCAATTTCCATGGCCTCTAAGATAACAGACATGCAACTTGGAGGTTCAGTGGAGATCAGCAAGTTAATTACCAAAAAGGAAGTTCATCAAGCCAGGTAATTTTTAAAATGCATATATGTGCCTTCTTTCTTCAATTAGACTTCAATTAGAGGGCAGGGATTATTCATTTATCTCAGTACTTTATAGTAGAGCCTTGCATACATAATAAGTATTCAATAGACAATTTGATGCTGAGACATCCGTTCCATCCCCAATGCATCCTACTCAGGAGATAGCTAAGACTAGAGGAGACTTTTCCAGGCCTCACAGTAACCAAAGGAAGCAGAGACGTATGTGTGTTTAGCTTAACCCATGTGAGAATAGAGAACCCAGAGTGGTGACTGTCTCTGGAGTGGGAGATTGGGCTGTTAAGAGGGGCACCTATGGAGCATTTGGGGCTGAGCAGCCAGGGAACACTCTGAGGCCACTGGAGGACTCCTAGGCCCCATAACAGAGAGGCCACCCCACCTGTCCTTGAGAGGGACCTCATCCAGCCATCCCTGGATTGGGGTCCATGGGGAAATGATATTTCTAGGGCAAGAGTACTAATGGAAACTGAAGAGCAGGTGGCCTCACAGGCTTCCTGGCCTGAGGGAATGTTCTTTGGCTAGAGTCAGCTGTGCTTCCAGGTTGACTGAGACTTTTCTTGCTGGATAGGAGCTGTACAGCCAGTACTCTGACTTTTTTTTTTTTTTTCATTTGCTTATCCAGGCTGGAGTGTGATGAGGAGTGTTCAGCCTTGGAAAGGAAAAAGTAAGTAGTTTCAGTTGCTTTTTAAATCTCCTTGCCCTTGAGCTCTGTGAAATTAGTGGAAGGGAGCAACCCTTCAAACATCAGACATTCACTCAGCACTGCGCTGCGTCTTTTACTGTTATCAAAGAGCAAGAGAAATGCCGTTACCAAGAATTGAATTGTCTTAAGGATAATCACTCAGGTGATTTCAGTATATTGAGAAACATGAGCTGTGTGGTTTTGGGCATGATATAAACATCATACCACAGCATACTTGTTCAGGGACTGGCCAACTTCCTGACTCATTGTTTAAAACAATGTTTAGTGAACTTTTCATTGAAGTTTAGCATACATAGTGAAGATTGGAAGTGTGCAGATCAGTGAATCGTCACTAAATGAATACAGTTGTGTAATTAAGCACTCAGGTGAAAAGATAATTACCAGAACTGTGCCTTGTACTCTACATAAACGTAAAACCTCTATCGTAACTTCTCTTTAGATTAGTTTTTGAACTTTATGTAGGTGATGAAATCATGTGGTTTGTATTATTTTTGTCTGGCTTCTTTCATTACTTTTTTGTGACATTCACTCCTGTTGTTGCATGTAGCAATGCTTTATTCATTTTTATTCCTGCATGATTTTTTTTGTATTACTATTCATTTACCCCTTCTACTGTTAATGGATATCTTTGTATTAAGTATTAGACTATTACAAATAAAGCTGTTAAGAATTTTTTGTTTTTTGAGGTGGAGTTTTGCTCTTATCGCCCAGGCAGGAGTGCAATGGCATGATCTTGGCTCACTGCCACCTCTGCCTCCCAGATTCAAGCGATTCTCTTGCCTTAGCCTTCAGAGTAGCTGGCATTACAGGCGCGCACCACCATGCCTGGCTGATTTTTGTGCTTTTTTTTTTTTTTTAAGATGAAGTCTCGCTCTGTCTCCCAGGCTGGAGTGCAGTGGCGCAATCTCGGCTCATTGCAAGCTCTGCCTCCCAGGTTCACACCATTCTCCTGCCTCAGCCTCCCAAGTAGCTGGGACCACAGACGCCTGCCACCACACCTGGCTAATTTTTTGTATTTTTAGTAGAGACAGGGTTTCACCGTGTTGGCCAGGATGGTCTCGAACTCCTGACCTCATGATCCATCCACCTCAGCCTCCCAAAGTGCTGGAATTACAGGCATGGGCCACCGCACCCGGCCTGATTTTTATATTTTTAGTAGAAATGGAGTTTCACCATGTTGGCCAGGCTGGTCTCAAACTCCTGACCTCAGGTGATCCACCTGCCTCCACCTCCCAAAGTGTTGGGATTACAAGCCACCACACCCGGCCCAGAACATTCTTAAACTTGCTTTGCTCTATATTTCTGTACATTTCTGTTGGATATAAGCCAGAAGTAGAATTGCTGATTAATAGGGTTTACATATGTTCAGCTTTAGTAGAGTCTGCCAGTGTCCAAAGTGATTGTACCAAATTACATTCCCACCAGCAAAGGATAATTCCCATGATTGTACATTTTTGTCAGCACTTAGAATTGTCAGTCTTTTTAATTTTAGCCATTTTGTAGATGTGTATAACAAGATGTCATTGAGCTTTTAATTTCTTTTTTCCTGATGACTTAAGAGATTGAGCAGCTTTCTTATAGTTACTGGCCATTGGATAGCCTCATTTTTGAAGTGCCTATACAAGTCCTTTGCTTTTGTGTGCTCTTTTGTATTGATTAGTAGGAATTATTTATGTATTCTGAATATGAGTCCTTTGTTGGCTTTCTGTATACATTGTGAGTACTTTGTTGCACTCTGTACCTTCATTTTTTACTCTCTTGATACCTTTTTTTTTTAATCCCAGAAGCTAAAGAATTCTTGATGTCTTTTGAGAAACAGAAATTTTTAATGTTAATATTGTCCAGTTTATTTGAGTTTCCTAATAAGCACTTTTCATGTCCTATTTAGAAAAATTTGTCATCCTGAGGCCATGATGATATTCTGTTACTGTCTAGAAAGTGTATTATTTTACCTTTCACGTTTTAAATCTACAGTTGACCTGTACTGATTTTTTTGAGTATGGATAAGGAGAGTTTACAATTCAGCTTTTTTCCATGCGAATATCCATTTGACAAGTACCAAGATTGTCCTTTTCCCAGCACTCTGCAGTGCCATCTCTGTCATAAATCACCTATAAGTCTGGGCAACTTGCAAAACCTTGTCTCTACAAAAAATAAAACAAAATTAGCCAGGTGTGGTGGTACGTACCTGTAGTCCCAGCTGCTTGGGAGGCTGAGGTGGGAGGATTGCTTGAACCTGCGAGGCTGAGGCTACAGTGAGCTGTGATCACCAGCCTGGACTATACTCTTGGTGACAGAGTGAAACCCTGTCTCAAAAAACAAAAACAAAAATAGGCTGGGCACGGTGGCTCATGCCTGTAATCCCAGCACTTTGGGAGGCTGAGGTGGGTGGATCACAAGGTCAGGAGATCGAGACCATCCTGGTTAACACAGTGAAACCCTGTCTCTACTAAAAAATACAAAAAATTAGCCGGGCATGGTGGCGGGCGCCTGTAGTCCTAGCTACTCGGGAGGCTGAGTCAGGAGAATGGCGTGAACCCAGGAGGCGGAGCTTGCAGTGAGCCGAGATCATGCCACTGCACTCCAGCCTGGGCGACAGTGTGAGACTCCATGTCAAAAAATAAAATAAAATAAATAAATAAAAATATATCAAATATATGTATGTGAGTCTATTTCTGAGCTCATCGTGTTCAACTGCACTAGTATCACACTGTCTTAATTACTGTGCCTTTATAACAAGTCTTAATATCTGGTAGTATATATCCTCAACCATGACTCCTCTTCAATATTGTCTTTGATTATTCTTTATTCTTAGCCCTTTACATTTCAACTTAATGTCTTTTTCATTTATTTATTTATTTATTGAGATAGGATCTTGCTCTGTCACCCATGCTGGAATGTAATGGCACAATCATAGTTCACTGCACCCTTGAACTCCTGGGCTCAAGGGATCCTCGTGCCTCAGCTTCCAAAATAGGTGAACTATAGGCACACACGCCACTACGACCGGCTAAGTTTTTCTTTTTCTTTTTTTTTTTTTTTTTTGTAAACATGGGGTTTTACTATGTTGACCAGGATGGTCTCAAACTTCTGGCTCAAGCAAACCTCCTACCTTGGCCCCCCACAGTGCTGGGATTATAAGCATGAGCTACTGCACCCAGCCCATATCCACTTATATTTCACAATTGACTTCTTATAATATATACCCAAGAAACCTGCTGGGATTTTGATTGAGTTGTTATTTAACTTGTAGGTCAATTTGCAATCCTTACAGCATTGAATTTTCTAATCCATGAGGAGGGTGTATTGTTGCATTTCATGTCGTCTTTGATTTCTCTCAATGATACTTTATGTTTTGTATATATAGATTTTGTGTTCTGTCAGTAGATTTGTTTCTTGATTTTTGATGCTGCTATAGATGGGTTTTCTCCTTGTATTACTTGTAATTTTTTTTTTTTTTTTTTTTTTTTGAGATGGAGTCTCGCTCTGTCACCCAGGCTGGAGTGCAGTGGCGCGATCTCGGCTCACTGCAAGCTCCACCTCCCAGGTTCACGCCATCCTCCTGCCTCAGCCTCCAAAGTAACTGGGACTACAGGTGCCCGCCACCACACCCGGCTAATTCTTTGTATTTTTAGTAGAGACGGGATTTCACCATGTTAGCCAGGATCTCAATCTCCTGACCTCATGATCCACCCACCTCGGCCTCCCAAAGTGCTGGGATTACAAGTGTGAGACACCACGCCTGGCCAACTTTTAATTTTTTTTTAATTATTATTATATAATGTGACAAGGGTTTTGTTTATTTTGTTTTTGACCAGGTTGACATCCTCAAGAAAAAATGCAAATTACAAGGCCTTCATTTTAAAGCAAATGCTCATTTTAGAAATGTGTTACAGAAGATGTTTATATGCTTCAGCAGGCATAAAAATACATCACAGATAAGGCAGAAAAAATTCTATGAATGGCTTGACTTTTTTTTTTTTTTTTTGGATACAACGTCTCACTCTGTCTCCCAGGCTGGAGTGCAATGGCATAATTACAGCTCACTGCAGCCTCTACCTCCTGGGTTCAAGTGATCCTCCCACCTCACCTCCCAAGTAGCTGGAACTGCAGATGCATGCCACCACACCCAGCTAATAATTTTTAGATTTTTTGTACCACATCCAGCTAATTTTTTTGGTTTTTTTTGTTTGTTTGTTTGTTTTGTTTTGTTTGTAGAGATAGCATCTCACTATTTTGGCCAGGCTGGTCTCACATTCCTGGGCTCAAGCAATCCTCCTGCCTCAGCCTTCCAAAGTGCTGGGTTTACAGGTGTGAGCCACTGCACCCGGCCTAAATTGGTATTTTCTAATTGCTTGTTGCTGGTATTTAGAAATACAATTGATATTTATTGACTTATTTAGCAACCTTACTAAATTCACTTACTTCTGATATTGTAGATTCTTTTGGATTTTGCATATATACAATCATGTCTTCTAATGATAGTAATTTAATTTCAATTCCTGTTTTTTCTTTTCTTTTTTCTTTTATCTTTTTTCCTTCTTTCCAATTCTTAACTTTTATTTCTTCTTCTTACGTCGTTGCACTGGCTAGGGCCTTCAGTATATTGTTGAATGGAAGGTGGTAATAATAGATATTCCTTGGCCGGGCATGGTGGCTCATGCCTGTAATCCCAGCACTTTGGGAGGCTGAGGCGGGCGGATCACTTGAGGTCAAGAGTTGGAGACCAGCCTGGCCAACATGGTGAAACCCTGTCTCTACTGAAAATACAAAAATTAACAGGCATGGTAGCGGACACCTGTGGTCCCAGCTACTGAGGAGACTGAGGCAAGAGAATTGCTTGAGTCTGGGAGGCAGAGGTTGCAGTGAGCCAAGATCACGCCACCACACTCCAGCCTAGGCAACAGAGCAAGACTGAGTCTCACAAAAAAATAGATAGATAGATAGATAGATAGATAGAT